GATTACAACCCTACCAAAGATTTTGCATTATTATGGACCAGTATGTGCACAAAACGATCAACTCTGCATTTGCCGCCTGAGGCAGACACTCCACTCAAGGTTGTGGGAGGAAGCACTATTGTTACATAGCACAGGTTCAAAGATGCTCATTTTAGATCAGCAGAGGAATTCACACTATAGTTGAAGGGTTCCTATGGATAAGGAAAAAAAAAACAAACACACATACACTTCAGTCTCTAGAGATAAGTCTGCTATTAGGTAACTGCAGTCATTTTCTATATTTAATAAAAGCCTTCTTGTTTTCTGCAATATTGCATACATACAGCTCCTCAAGGTGAATTATTTCAGGAGAAAGAATGAAGTAACAAATTTGAACGGCTCTCAGACTGATGCTTGCACTTACTGCTTCCCAAATGAAAGAGATGACAGTGCCAGACTCTCTTCCAGTATAAAATGCAGTCAGTTGTACCGAATATTTTAAAGTGCCAAAAATAGAAGCTTGCTTTGTGGAGGATAAGGGCTGGCATCAGCTGCAACTAAAGCATTTGTTACGGTTCATAAAATTGGCAGAAATTACTCAATTTTCTTTTTTAGAACACGGACTATTTTTAAGCAGCTCTCCTCTCATAAGGCTTTTCCCTACTGTATTTATTTAAAAAGTTCATTAGCATATTAGACTTAGAAATTATTATCACAACCTATCTTCTTTTGCACGTAGGTCAGTTCAAATGACCAATACCAGTTTTCCTTGTTCACAAAACAGTCTGAGCTGCAACTTTGTAGAAGACAGGCCCTCCTGTGACTGACAGAGAAAGGCAGAGAGATAGGATGTGGCAGCAGCCTCTAACCTATTATGAGGCTTCAAGGTGAGGTGCACAGAGTGGAACAGTGTTAACTGTTAGCATCTTCTGTTCACGCTGCAAATGCATTGCATCTGACAGAAAAGGGACACCAAGTTTAGCAAAAGGCAGGAGCAGGCCTCTCAAAGTCCTGCAGGTCTGTTTCAATCAACACACAGCAGCCACAGTATCACAAGTCTCCATTTATGCTCCACAACGCTGACGCATGACGCTCTGTGAGGAGCAATAACTACATTTTAGCAACCACTGGGACCCCAGGGACAGCCTTACACATCCGTGGTTTCACATCCCAATCTCACGTTGCTTACTGCTCGATGCCAGTGTACTTTCAATGGGCTTTAGGACTAGGGGAAGCTTAGATCCCACTACTATGGGGAAAAAAAATACAAACGAAAAGGAGCCCTCCTGATTTTTCTAGGGTTCACTTTCACTTAACTAGATTAAAAGAACTACCATGTCCACGTCAAATCAGCAGCACAGAAAAAAGCACCCAGGCAGATCTGTCATTAACTTGCAAGTAATGAGCCTAGCTTTGACAGTGCTTGAAAGGAACACAAAGGTTTGACAAAGCCTTCCATCAAACTGGTAGATAAAGGAAAGAAAATGAAAATCAACTATTCACTCCACATTCCACAGAGCACATGGCAAAATTACTTAAACTTTCAAAACACTGTTAATACAGGAGTTAACAGTATCATACTGTTCTCCTAATAGGGCTTTGGAAAAAAAAAAAACAACAAAAAACAAACAAAGCCTATATGTTGTACGTGTGATACTTTTTATATTTTATACAGGAGATACTTTAGAAGTTCTATAGAACTTCAGATTGCTGCTGTTTTCTGCACAGTACACCTCTGCTTCTATTTAAACTAACATGCAGAGGAGAAGGACAAGTAACTCTCAGTTGGCGACCTTATTCATCCCAGTCTTGTTAGGCACCTGGTTGACAACACCTACTAGGAGGTGGATATTGCGGACAGTCGACAAAGCTCCACCTTGCACTAGTACAAGAAGCTGAGAAGAAAAAGGAGCAATTAATGATAAAAACAATAGTATTCAACGAAACGTGACAAGAACTCCTCTGCGAGAAAGGAGAGAAGAGACTGAAAATAACTGAACTCTACATTGTCATGGAAAGATTCTGGCAATTCCATGTTATTATATTGCAATCTACACTAGTAAAGAGAAGGTCCCTTTAAGAAGGTGCAGGTCTTAATAAATTGCAAGACTAGAGACTCTCTCAAAGCACTAGTGAGTCCAGGCTAGTAAGCATTGCAGTGGATTGACTTTGTCAGACCTAAAGGACCATCTTTCTGCATGCAGCAGAGATTAACATTCATCAAAACTTTCACTGAAACCTTCTATCAAAGCAAATTCTAATTAACAAATGAATTTTAAAATCATATGGGAAAAAAGACCCACATAAGTTATTTTCAAGTAAACATCCAGAGTGCATACTGTACAGGTTATTTAAATCTTTGCTTTCCTCAGCAAAGCAGTTTGTTCTGTAAGCTGCATGACTACTTCAATGTAAAAAAAAAAAAAAAAAAAGTCACATGAAAGATATAAAAAAACATCAGAGAATAAAATAAGGAACAACAATACACTGCTACACACATATGCCTGTATAGAGAAACACAAGGGGAGATAACCAGTACTGAATTACCCAAAAAAGGATGATAGCCACAATCCAGTTAAAGAAAGAAAGGTTTGCTTACCCATCCCAAGGATCAGGGCTCACTGAACTCTCCACAAGGAGGGATCTCCTGGAAGAGATCCCTGCCTTATGGCAACCAGCCCTTACATGAGGCTTAAGGAGGGGTGGAGCCAGATTCCAGGCCTTCTGGTTGCACAGATGAATTGCTTTCACCTGTGCTCCCAGGGCTGGCTGTGTCCTTTCACCAGGTGCTCAATCACTGTTTCAGGCTGTGATTTAACAATTCCTATACAACATTGACAATCCTGAAAAAAACTGTAATTTAGATTTGTTTGTTTGTTTTAGCGTTGTAGACTATTTTAAGACCTCACAATCACTTCAGCAGATGCAAACAAAGCTATAGGATGAGGTTGGAAATTATTATATTTAATAAGAAAAGGGGTAGATAAGTATTAAAGACTTCCATACAAACAAAGAAGTCTTTATTAAAAAAGAGAAATCATAAAGACACTAAAAATTGCATGTTATTTCTAAAAACAAATATTTCTAAATTGTCAGGGTATATATGAAAAGCAAGCAAGCAAAAATTTTAGCCTTGCTTAGCTATTATTTCTCAGCATATAAGTCCCATGAGCTGCCCCAACTCATGCAAGCTGGCTTATCGTTAACACTTCCTGAAAACATAGACAAGTCATTGGACTCGTTTAGGTTGCCTAGATGCAAAAGAATCCAGTTACTTACTTGGTACTGCAGTGACTGACCATAAAAATTGTAATACTGAAACTTTAATCAAAGTGGACATATTTATCACCATGCCTGGTATGAAGAAAGATGAACTGTACTGCCTTCAAAATAGACTGGGAAACAACCTACTTTACACCTTCATTCAGTTTGACCTGATAGGTGCATGAAGCAACTTAGCCATCTGCCTGACAAGGAACACAGATGCACCTGGAATACAAATAAAACAGTAAATTCTATCTGCCACACCTGTCACGTATGCATTCTGTCATTCTATGCATACCTTGCATTTTTGTACAGATGATCAAGGTTCAAAAAACTGGGGACAGACAAGATGATATTAAACCTTACTGATTTATTCCTTTCCTCCAAAGAGTACAGGTGAGAACAAAATGGGTAAGAAATGGGATCCACCAGCAATAGTATCAAAAGCCTCAGCTTTTCTACAGATTCTAACATGTTAAATGGCAGTAAGTGATTTTCTTGTATAAATTGCTCCTGCATAAGTACAGTGATTGTACTGGCTTTGTAATGCACCAAGGGATTTAGACACACTCATATAAATCTTATTATTTAAATACTATGTGATAGCATATGATTGACTGGAGCTGTTGGAACAGACAATACCAAATGTTTTAAATTATGCCTTTAAAGGTAATCTCATAGTGAGGATATAAAAAATAATGTTGAAGGAAAAAAAAAGTGTCATGAAAGCAAGGATTTACTTGCTTAGTGTATGAGAAGAGCACAGCAATTCTTACAAGCATAGCACTTTAAAATGCAAGAATTGCAGACTGTAGGTGTAGGGTCAGAAGGCCCAGAAAAGCAGGTGCTCTTTCAACATGCAGCTGCATTCTCCAAAGCTGTAAGGGGATTTGGATGCTCAATTCCAATTAACATTTCAACCTGAAGCAGCTCCAAGAGCTCCACTAAAGTAGCATCTGTACAAATAAAAGTTTATGTACGTTGGGTGTATTGCTCATCATTTTGCAAGCATGGTTTGAGTGTATTTAAGCTTGATTTTCAGCAGTGCTACAGGTCAATAATTCTTGCCCACATGCAAAAGCTGCTGTCTTCAGCAGTCTCGCTTATCAAGTACAAATGCTTACTATCAGCTTTTCACTATAAGGCTGAAAGAATAGCATAAATGATCACTTTTGCAGAAGACAATTTATGGCTTCATTTTTCATACAGAATCAGGCATCTAGATGCATTATGTTATAAAAATATGTATTTTCTTAACTACGTTTCTACTACAACAACCAGCATACAGGCACTCACATGAACATTTTCAATGTCAAGTTTTGGAAAAATGCATTCTCTTTCATGCAAACCTTTCCCTGAAAACTTGAAATAAGCAGAGCTGTTACCCAATATTCTACCACAGAAATGTTATCTTGCAGGGAGGACTTGGGATTTCAGGATCAAGCCTCCACAGCAGTAATATTTCATTACAAAGATTTGCTGTTAGCATTCCAGTTCGACAAGAGCCTGCTATTCAGGCAGGTTATATACACTATTTTAAAAGTAGTATTTGTAAAACAGGTTCAGTGCATTTCACTAAAAGCAAGATGCTACTACGGAACTTTAAAAAAAAAAAAAACCACACACAAAAAACAGAGAAACCAAAGAAGTGATCAAATAAAACAAGAAATAGGAAAACAGAATTTAAAAAATTCACCAATATTCAGAAGCAAAAGTAACAGCCAATCTTGTAAATGAGTTCAGTTTGGTTGCATTACCTGTCGACTTCCCTGCTTAGAGGAGCAGCTGCTAGTGCTTCTTGAAGGAGACAACATTTTCTGGGATACACCAAAGTTTTTTTCTTCACTCATGATTCAAGGTCATTTATTTCACATCAGCTCACTTAGAATGTCATTAAAAGGTAATTAAGCAAATGTATTGGAAGACTCCTGAGAGAAATGCAGAACACATCCTTTACCCTAGTGCATTTCAGTAGCATGATCTGCATCCCATAGAAATTCCTAAAATGAAAAAGAAAAAAACAAAATGCCAAATTTATACAACACAATCTTTTACTGCAGTCCCATAGAACAAATCATGAAATCATAATATAGCCTTTGGTAATGCAAGCTGACAACATTACTATACACTACTAGAAATTAACAGAAAAAATTACTTCACGATAAATTTTCTATTATCTAACAGGACTAGCAAGAATTAGTTAGTATTTACGCACAAGACAAAGTGCAGCATCAAACATCATTTTTAAGACTTAAATTCATAATCCAATGACAAAAAGAAGTCTAATAAAGACACAGAATACACCAAATATACAAAAAAAAAAAAAATCAAAACATTATTGAAATGAGGAGAAAGCATCTAATCAAATGTCTCATAAAAAGGATGTTAAGTAAATAAAAAAAAGAACCAAACATTTTTCCAAGTTATTTGATAATTTAAACAAGTAAGCATGGCTTCAGATTGTAAAGAAAAACTAACATACAATGCAAGCAATACACAGAAGTAGAGAGCTATGCAGAGCTGTTCATGACTACTCTTACCTGCAATCAAAAAGTTGTAGCTATTGTCACATCACCCACCTAACTCAGTGACTGGAAGAACAACCAGCAGTCTGTTTAACAACAGTGCTGTTTGCAGCATGTGCAAATAAAACCCAAGCCAGAAACTCCTAATAATGGATTTCCAGTGTGGGCAAGAGTTGTCATGGTAACAGCACTTTTTTAAAATGGAACAGAGGACATAACAAAAGGGTAATGCTTTACAAAACTTGGGGTGGTGGAGGAGCTTTATGAATTGTCTCTCACTTCAGATTTTATTGTCTTGGGCAAGGAATTCGCACAGGAGAAACAGTGCAAAACCATCACTGAGGAACGTAAGACACTTCCACAGGTATGAAAAAATTAATTTCCAAAACAGGGAGGCATTACTTCACAATCCACCTGCTTGCTTGCACTGTGAGAAAAGCCCTGAACTAAGCTCACTGGTTGTTGAGTTATCCATTCATTTTTTCTTGAAGGGTCACAAACTCCTATTCAGAGAGAAGCAGTATTTGAAGACCTCTAGCAAAATCTTTTGTTTTAAAAATTCTAGTTTGTCTTAAGAACAAACAAGCAAAAAAAACCATGACAAAGTGGTGCTGCATTTAAGACAGCAACAACACTATGTTGGAGTTAACCGTGCTCCTAAGTGTTGTAGTCTGTGGTGTCCAACTTCTGAACAAAGACATTTTGCAGCCTACACTGCCTCTTCTGCAATACAGCTTGCTGTCACAGTTCAGCCAAGTTACTCTCTTTTTAGCTGGTCTCTCAGCATTTATTTTATCTATTTAGAAATACCCAATTACCCCTAGAGTAGATCTATGCAAAGTAACAAACCATAGAATCATAAAGGTTGGAAAAGACCAGTATGATCATTTAGTCTAACTGTCAACTCACCCAACCATGCCCACTAACCACGTACCTTAGTGCCACATCTGCATGGTTCCTGAACACCTCCAGTGACAGTGACTTCACCTCCTCCCTGGGCAGCCTGTGCCACTGCAGCACTGCTTTTCCTGAGAAGAAATTTTTTCTATATCTAAACTGAACTCTCCCCCACCAGTACAACTTAAGGTCATTACCTCTCATCCTATCTCTGCTACCTGTGAGAAGAGGCTGACACCCACCTCACCACAACCTCCTTTCAGGTAGTTGTAGACTGCTATATGGTCTCCCCTGAGCCTTCCCTTCTCCAGACTTGAAGTGTGACCTCTAGTACTGTAGAAATAATCTCCAGTTTCCAAGAATCAAGTGAGAAAGCAAGCTCTGCTAAGGCTGTTTCACAAAGCCAGTGATCACGATGCAAGAACCTAAAAGAAACAGAACAGTGCAGTGATGTGATAACAAGACCTGATTTAGGCCTTGCACACGAGTTTTGTACTGAAATTACTGCTGAGATTAGAAGCTTGTGCCTTGGAGAAGGTATGGACTTTTCCCATCTGAAAGATAAATTTCTGTGTGACATTTCACCAAGGACTAACTCTCCTAAAAGGTTTAAGCCGTTGAGAAAACATAATGCATAACTTTATTAATTAGTTTCAAAGTGCATTTAGTAAAACAGTTTAATGGAATATCTCTATTTATGAGCAGAGATCAAACACTCATGATAGGAACGTAAAAAAGCTTTCTGTAAACTCATAGTTCAAATATCCCCTCAAAATTGCCACACAGCAAGAGTTTAACTACTGTTCACTACTCATCCAGATGCTAACATGGTCCTCTTCACTGTTCCATGTCTAAAATGACTAAGGTAATCAATATCACACCTGTTATTCATTGTTCACTACATGACATTTTGGCAGAGATTGGCACAGTTGATGAAAAGAAACAGGCTCTAAATCGTAGCAAAACGCACTTCTTGTCATCAGTACCTCATGAGCATATGCCCAGATAAGCTAGATTACAAGATCCCCTTTGTCCATCTGAACACACCAAAGTGGTTGTTACACCCTCAAAGCTGAAGATAATGGAAAAATAAAACGGAGGTCTCACCGGTGTTAATACAAAAACATAATCAGAAGAATCACAGAATCACAGAATTGTAGGGGATGGATGGGACCTCTAAAGATCATCTAGTTCAATCCCCCTGCCAAAGCAGGCTTCCTTGACCAGGTTGCACAGGTAGGTGTCCAGGTGGGCTTAGAACATTTCTATAACCATTTCTTTTCTGTAGAATCTAAAAAAAAAGAAAAAAGCCTGGCTACATTTGCATTTCAGAACAGATTGGAAGAACGCTTATTCTGCAAACCTCCTCATTACCACCTCTGATCATATTTTGGGTTAAACTTAGGACAGTCTTAGAGTATGGACACCAGATTCCTTTTGGAGAAAGGACAGCAAATGTGCTCCAGGAATGCATCCAGTGATCACAGCACTTTGTCCATGGCACCAGACTCAAGCTCATCCTGACCAGTCCTATCTCAGTGCCAATGTGTGCCAGCTCACCACAAATGACTCACTTGAAAAGGCCCACTTTTATTGCACTGCTCTGCTCACTAACATTGATATGGTCTAGACACAGACTCTGGGCACTCAGCCAAGCACTTCAGATCTCCTTTGGCAAAGTCATTTGTCTTTCTGTAATCAACAAAAGAGGGGCACGTTTCTAGAATTCAAATGAGTTGACTCAGCTGCCTAACCCGGGGTCCCGAGGCAAAGGGTGGGAGACAGGTAGGATAAATCTGACAGAGAATGCCCAAAGTATTTTGAGAGTCTACTTCCAAAATAGGGCTTTCCAATTTTCTTGTATTCCTTTAAATTAATTTACTACATGGACAAAGGCTTGGTTTTTTTTTTTTTTTTTTTTTACTGGCCCCAAAGACGGCAAGAATGATGTGTGCCATTTGTCCAAAGTCTTATTAATATTTTATAAATGTTTCACACTAATTTAAATTATTACCTCGAGAATTCCAAATCTGAACATGAAATTATATCTGAATACTGAACATGACCCCAATCCATCTGTCAAAACTGCTGTGTCCTCCAGCAACTGTTTTGTGTTCCTTTTTGAAATTCCCTTCCAGCTCAGAAAGAAAAAAAGAAGACATGGCTGCCCTTCAACAATAACCAACTCAGTGCTTCCAGAAAGGTGTAAAAAAACTGATCCTGCATCCCAAATAGACTCTCATATTCTGGCTGCCAGTAGCAATGACTGAGCCTTTCTAGGATGACTCATATTTTACATTACCTGGAGAACAGAAGTCTACAAAGTTACACGACCAATTAAGACTTTAAAGCAGGCATAACAATCAGGATTATGCAAACCAAGCTAAAATTGCAGCAGACTCTCATGGTTTGAGGTCATTACGATTCATTTACTTCAGGTTCACTGCTTTCTGCTCCTCCCCATGCCACAAAATGACATTGGAACTAATGATGCTTGTTCCCACCTATCCTCTGAAGCATATAGCACTTTGTTCTGTTCCAAAGAGACAAATCAGAAGTGGAAGGCTAAGGCAAATTCAAATACATTTAGGACAGGAATTTTCACAAGGGCTAAGTATTGGCCTAATTCTTCTCTACTGAGTCAACTGCAGCAAAAGTAGGCCAAGACTGCTGCAGCAAATGACCTCAGCAGGTGCACTTTAAAGAACTAAGAAAAGAGAGAGTCAAATATTATTTATAGCTACTGTATCTTAAACCCATAAACAGCACTTTCCTGAACTTATTATCTGTTTCTAGGAGACTTACCGTTCAAAATCCATTAAGGCAAATGTAGACATATGTACAACAGAAAGACTTGAAAAATATAAATGTACTGTCCTATGCTGTCCTGACTTGCACTGGTTCAAAATGACTTCTCAGCATCATAACTCACTTCCAGCAATTCTCAAAGCAATAAGCTTACAACAAAATCCCATGTCTCACAAAAGAAGAAAGGTAGAAATTTGAAAATTCTGGAAGTCTGCAGTACTAAATCAACATTATGCAATTATTTTTGTTATGGCATTAGAAGAAAAAGGCAGCTGTTTCAGAGCTGAATCAACATCAAAAGTACATCTCATGCTATCACTGTAGACAATAGAGATTTTGTGGATAGAAGAACAAGAACAACAGAAAGTCTGATGAAAGTCATGTAGACACAGCAAGTGCAAGACAGCAATCTAAGTCAGAGCTGCAAGCAACACAGTGACTTCCATTGAATTAAAAAAGAATCCACACTGAAACCTTTGCTCTGTATCTATTATTAAATTATTAGGTTACATTCACTCATGTCCACTTGGATAAAGAAAGCAATAATCTTTTCAAGTAACGTTGTCATGGCTTTCTCTGTCATACTTCAAATTGTCAGCTTTAATCTATCCAACAATCCCATTTGGCTCAAAAACAAAAAGAAAGAATCATATATAGGCAACAGATAAACCATGTACAGCTACTGCAAATGTCTTTTTTAGGAAGGTATTTGCTATTCCTGAAGCACTGTAACATTCATACTGTTGAAAGGGACAGCACACAAATATATATAGATACAGATATATTTAGATATATATATATAAGGCTATCTCCTTTAGAGAAAGAAAACTTGCACATATAAAGTAGTTAGAAAGAAAGAAGTTACTAAAGCTATCTTTGAAAGCAACAGTTTAAACAAGTAAAGTAGCAGTAACAGGAAGCTTTTGAGACCCTCCCTCAGTTACATGCTGTCCTACACACCATACAAATCACAGCACTTGAGCAGACACTTTCACTGGCCATAGATACATACTATCTTCTGAGGTATTATGTGATGCAATGTAACAGTTAGTTCCATCTTGCTTACTTCCTTAAGGAGGCTACTGTAGTAAGTAATTAAATCATACTAACTCAATGGCCCAAGAGAGGAAAATTTAGTTCAAACAAAATCGTCCTACTTGTGTAATCAGAAGAGACACAGGGTGGGAAAAGGAGAAAACCAGACAAAGAACAAACATACTACATTTAACATTGGATTACTTTTCATGTATAATATTCATCACCTAGTGAAAGCACATCCTGCATGTTCCAAGCATAAAGAAAACAAATAAAAACAACAGCAACAAAATCATCAAAAAACCCCAAAGTCAACCACCTGGAAACAATCCACTACCATGTACCCCAGGTAAGACACCAAGAAGAACATGCTTCAACGTCAGGTCTAGTCAGACTTTCCCAAAGCAAAGCACGTATCTGCATTTTCAATAACCCTGGGGGCAAATAATTCAGTACCTGGTATTAGAAAGACCTTAAATTTAGAAATAGGTTAATATGCATCCTAAAATGTAAGTATAAGTAAAAATATCACCTTTCCATCATATCTACTGTTGAAATTGACTTTAATACTGCTTGTGACATAATTAATTTTAAACATCTAATCTTGACACTGTTGCTCCTCTCCCTAAGGAGATGTGAGAGATTGCATTTGTGTGAAACTTACTATATATATATTCTAGACAGATATGATAAAAAAATCTTTGTGATGAGTTACGCAAAATATGTATTAGCAATGGCAGCATTATTATGTTAATTGGTTAGCTGCCATATCACCTTTTCAACCCAGCTTCTAATCACAGTCGAGAATGTGCCTGCATTTGCAAATACAACTGACTTAGCTCACAGCCACGTCCTAAGTAATTAATTCCTCATCTTCCCCAGCCCGTTTTGGAGGGATTCTTGCCCAGAGCCAGGCTGGCAGCTCTGTGCTCCTTTGCACAGGTTGCCAGAAGGAACGGGGTTCCACGTGCCCCCTTCCAGCTCCACGTACAACTCTCACACATGACCAAGATGCCACAAGCCTGGGGACCGCAGGAGCCACTTTGTAATGCTGGAACAGACAGGTCCACAGTCTTCCTGTCAGGAAAGTAAAAGCTACTGAGCCGTGATCAAACGCTATGCTGCGAGCACACACACACTGCACAGAGCAGTGCTAATGAGCGCTGGGAGGGCTGTCAACCTCAAGTAATAGAGAAGCAGTGAGACTCTTCACGATGGAAATGCTATTCATGCAGAGAAGGTTTCAGGAACCCAAAGACAAAGGATGATGAGGGAATGGGAGTGAGAAAAAAGCTTTGTTTTCAGTAAGAAAAAGAGCAGGCATTCAATAACATTTCACAGTCTGTACTAAACCTTTGGAAAAGATCACCCGCTAATGGTCTCAGGGCTGCTATGAGAGGAAACGCTTACCATCAGAGCTTTGGCACAAGCACGGATGCCTCTCATTTTACTGTTATCTACTGTTGGTACTTAAAACTTTGCTTTGCTCACGAAACAAAGATATTCCACTATTTCTCCAGGCTTATTCAAAAACAAAATACAAAACTAAACACTCATTGTTAATAAAATGTTACTGAAATAC